AGAGCGAGTCCGACGTAGGTGTGAGGAGCCATCGTGTCCTTCTCAACAAAGAGAGTGCGCAAGTGTCCCCTACCTGGCGTGCCAACTATTGGTATTTTGTCACCCAACGAGTGAATTTATACGAATGTCATGTTGCTCTAGGAAGACGATGGTAGCATCTAAAGACACAAGGAATTATACTAGTTCAGGCTAGAGCCCTACATCTAGTCTTAGAGAAAGATCACGTGCATGTTCCTCGGTTGAATGCTCTGAAGTTCTTACAATGGGGTATGCAAGAAGAGTGAAAGAGGTAGGAGAGTGGAGAGGGACTGCCCGAATAAAGTCTCGAGAGTCCGTCTGTTCGTTGATGCCTTGGAGGGGTGCCCTAGCTACCCTTATATAGAGTCCGGGGCCAGGTCACGTACAAGGAATTAGGTTCTCTCAACCGGACGGTCATGAGCCTGAGGGAGGGGAACTAGCTATCTTGGCTTGCAAGGAAGGCCGTCTTGTCTTGGCATCATCGTATGTCCAAACATGGTTGTCGTCATGGTCTTGTACCCATGTCGCGGCATGGGGTGGCGTGATGCCACAGTATCGATCGTGGCGGCACTGTTGGCATGGTGGTGGTTCACCAGCCATCCTATGCGACGTGGTCTTGTCATGGCCTTCGTCATTGTCTCTTGGTCTCCCAGGGTCATCGTACAGGAGTAGGAAGTCGCTTTGGGGTCGTCAGTTGTCTTTGTTGGTCATGGAGCCAGTGGCCACAATCCCGAGCACCGGGGTCATGGCCTTCATTGGCTTGGGTGGCCTTGGATGTCAAGACCATAGTCGTGAGCCCCATCCCATGGTGGGTGTGGTCGTACGCCCATCCCGTCGGGCCGTATTTGGACGATGGTTCACCGTACCTGTCGTCACCGCCTGATGGTGCTGTCTTGTCTACGCGACGTGGCACGGGGATGGCGTTTGTCTAGACTGAGGGGATAGATGTCTCCTCAGGCCTGGCGGAGTGTGTAGGGCGTGCTTGCCCTGGTCAGAGGAGGTGTACTTGGTGGAGCTCGACCCTTCTCCATCCCACCCAGGGGTCAAGATGGAGGAGAGGTCATGCGGAGCTAGGCAGCGTATGGTGAAGGAAGAGGGAAAAGGTCGTGGCCGACCCCTTGCTCAGCACTTGGCCCAAGCCTTCATAGCTTAGTTGGGCCTCAGTTGCTTAGGTTTGTACTAGCTCGTTTGTCATGGGCCGTCCGAGTGGCTAACTAATCGGTGACTTGAGATACCCGGGATATCAAAACCCCAAAATTATGCTTATCATTCTGGGATAGGGAATATCTTGTTATTATACCTACATAATGAGAAGACCTTTGACCAATAGATATATAATGAAATACTACATGAGCATGCACAAACGGTTTACTTCATTCTCATTTAAGGAGTAAAATTAATGAGCCTTCACTCCAACCTTGATCAATACTACTTAGGGCACCCGCAATGATTAGAGCCAGTTACTAGCTCTAAGATATCTTCTCCAATAGTGCTAATTTTTTTGCACTATAGCTTTTAGCATGGATAGCCCACATGACACTCTCATATAACCTTTAAATATGTGTAAGAGCTTAGCTCTTGATCATGAGCTAGTTTTTCTCTCTTCTATTAAAATATGAAAAAAATGCTTAGAGCTAGCTTAAGAGTCAATCGTTGGAGCTGCCCTTAGTCCAAGAATGGTAGAATCTCTAGGGAATTAAAACAGCAGCAACATGTCTATTGAATTATAGAAATGACATCAACAACTATACACAGTTCTAAGGGTGTCCCCAACAGTGCCACTTCAACTAGCTCATAGGAATCCATGTCAACACTTTCTGATGTGGAAGAGAGAGAAGATGGAAAAGATAAGAGACTATCTTTATCTCAACATCTATGTCTCGCTTAGAAAACGAGGTAGTTTATGGGTCTGCTCATAAAGAATGAGAGAGGGAGGAGAGAAGATGTAGAATAAAAAATCATTTACATGTGTGGTTTACACAATGAAGTAGCAATGACATGGTATGTATGAGCTAGCTGCTGTCTTTTACTATTGAGGACGCCCTAAAAAATACAACTATGCACATCTAGCAAGACTGCAAGAGGTATGACAATGTAAAAATAGAGAAGTTACAAAATTCTCTCTCTTTCTATTTTTAGTTCATGTCTCACAACAAAAAGCACAAATTTTGGTAGGCAATGTTATTTCATCACCCAAACTGCATGTGTGCAAGAACCGTGAAACCAAGATAAATAAAACCCCTCTCAATGTTGATGCTCCACTCGAATAATTCTCAAATCAATGATTTCCATATCATTGAATGGTAAACATTCTGTCTCCCACGGTTTAGCCATTATACATAATAAATGTCCATTTAAATATGATAAACGACCAATTAAACAGGATAAACGTCTGATTAAATGGTAACATAGTACCAGCATGTAGCGTTTATATGGTATTTAAATGGCTAAATGATCATTTGTGCATCAAATGAATCCATATCAAAGTACTCTAAGGGTCCACTCAGGTTTTTAGTTTTAGTTTCTTGCATTGGCATAAGCCATATAAGCATTACCAAACAATTCAATCCCAAGTATATTTTTCAAAACAAAAAGTTTGTTGAAATGTTAATTTCTCCATTTTTGCATTGTATTTATTAAACATGCCCATGCATTGCAATGGGACATACAATTTGTTGTGCGGTGGTCATGTCAATTATAATGCGGTAGCATTTTTGTTAGATTTAATTGGGCTTAGCCTAACTTTAAGTAAAATAAATTTCAAGATCCATAATAAATGCTAGTGCAATAAAGGATTAATCCTGTATGGAAAATTGATGAGAGTTTAACTCAATTTAAATATACGGCTATTGTGCACCTGTTGTGAGTTTAAGAAAGATAAAAAGCAAGCTACACCCATGCTCACATGCTGCGACATGAATAGTCTCGAGTGGCCATACATTGACATGAGTGGTGCGACACCAACAAATATTTTACGGATCCAAACTCAAATAAGAAGGTTGAGAATGAGAGATGACGGACCAAGGGACTGAAGATTAGCAGTGATGAACGGACGGAGAGAGTGAGAGATGAAAGGAACAAAATTACTGTTTTTAACATTAGGTATATGTATAGGTATAGATAATGGAGAAACCATGAAAACCTTGTGTCTCTTGCTTTCTCTTGAGAACCTGAAAAAAAAACCCACTGATTTATCGCATGATTTTACAAGAAACACAGCCATATCGGCCGCTCCTTCCACTCTTCTATTACGTTGTATTTCTTTTTGTTGCAGTGACATTTCTAACTATTTATAAGGGGTTTACCTTATGCTATCGGAAGTTAATAATCTGTCTGACATGTATAATTTTCACCGAACATAATGTAACATAGCAGGATATATGAAAAAAAAGGACAGTTAGCTAGGCAAGCGTCATAACTCACATGCACGATCATTCCAAATCTTGGAGCGGCTATCATCGATTATAGTGCATGGGCTAGGCCCTCAAAGTCCACCATGGCACCACATGCATCAATGCCATGCGTCTGACACGAGAGGGTGGTCATCCATTGCCATGGTACGTATGATTTCAGTTTTGACCGGCGTGCGCGAGGAAGACGATAGAAGGCATAAGGTGCACGCGGTTGTTATGAGCAACAATCTCTTAGCCCATTCATGTACGCTTATGATCTCGCACAAGAGCAGGAAATAGTGAGTGAGGACCGATCGTTGGGTGGCCAAAGGCTTTCTTTAGTAGACATTCACAACGTCTTCTCCTGCACTGTGTTTATTATAAAGAAAATAGATTAGAAGTGCACCCAATGGGTTTGCTACACGTTTACACAAGTTTGAACAGATTCGACTACCACAGCAGCTGATTTTTGCACGGTTTCTGTAAAAACTCAAATTGTCATCCCAATGGACATGATCAAACACGGCAAGGAAATCCAGCAGGACATGATTAACACATGGCAGATTGATAAGGGAGAAACCCAGCAACATATATATTTATCAAGCAGTTCGGATGATGGTTTTTGCTGCTAATAAGCCGGCTGTGGCTATTTTATTATAAAAGAAAAACATTATATCATAGCTAATAAGTCTGACTGATAAGTTCAGACGAACATATATAAGATATATGTTTTGTTCCTCGACTCTTTGAACAAAGGTGCTCGTTATAAAAAAAAAGTAAGCTGTCAGGCACCCACCCTCCTGAAGATGCGCAGCGACGGGTACAGCGATTGCAATAAATAGGACAGGCCAAGATCAACAGAGTTTGGTAAATCGTGAAGAACCAAAGGTGGGCAAATCATGCAGCACTAGGGATCCACACGATCTATGCATATTGGGCGTGTTTGGTTACACGTCACGGCCAGTCACGCCGTAGGTTCGGCAGCGCCACAGCTGTGTGGTGGGAAGAATGGCCAGCCACGCTGGGAAGAATGGCCACACGCCACACCTTTGCCACAGACAAAACAAGAAGCCAGTGAAGCAAAACGACAGTGGTGACAGCCAAAATTTACCCAACAACCACAGCGGCTAAAGTTGCAGAACTTTTGGTGTGGCGAGTTGCAGCGTTAAACCAAACACGCCCTTACCAACTGTAAAAATACAACTGACCTGCACACTTTCGGACATCAGAAACATAACACCGTCCCTTGCAATCAACCGCAACAACCTTACGATCCCACGAACGAGCCAGTGGCTCATTGGTGAAGCCGCTCGGTGGGAGAGCCACCCACCCGAGTTCGATTCCCGGCTGGGACAACTCGGGTGTTGCACCTCAGGATTTTTCCCAGATTTGTTTCTTGTATGTCATGGATATTCGCGTGGCGCCACAATGAGACAGACACTACGACGTGTCGGGGTGTGCGTGTGTGTGGTGTGAGTGCATTGAGTGGAATTCAGATAATACAACTTGTATACTAGGATCCAAGCTCAAAAAAACAACATCCTTACTCTCCCAGCCCAAAATATGTATTTGGGCCATGGTCATAACTCGTCAAATCTGTTCACCAGAGAGACCATACAGCACTTCTAAGCCCATCACCAAAGACAGGAGAAACGGCCTTTCACTTGACAGGTCAGCTAGAAACGGCCTTTCACTTGACAGGTCAGCTATAAGGCTAAACTGCTCACGTAGATTGGTCAAGACAGTCCTAACCATAGCATCACCATGAGCAGGGAAACCTAAGATCCTGGCAACTGCCCAGCAGGCAAAGGATCCATCGTGGCCTTCTTCTGAACACGGAAAAGTTTGGAGCGCTTCTTGTTCTATCGACAAAGAGACATCTTGAATTGAACTCAGGGTGCCTGTCAACCTTTTCAAAACAGTGATTAGAAAAAAAAAAAACAGCAGTTTCAGTTGGAAGAGCACACAGGAGAACATGCCGTTACCTTGAATGCAGTATGTCCTACACAGAAAATCAAGAGCTGCTTCACCACAGTTTTCATCCTAACTTATTGGTATCCATGATGCAAGAATGATCTGTTTCACTTATCCTAAATCCTACATCCCACTTTTCAATCCTATTTTTACATAAAGCCCTTAACATTGTGGAATTTCTCAACATTGGACTCACCTGCAAGACCATTAGGTCAAAACAGAAGTGTAACACCTGGACCAAACCCAATTCTATGGACTGACAACACATTATATGCCTTGTATTGCTACGAGGAATCAGCACTACAAATTGGCAGAGAAAAAAAAATTGACACTGTTACTGCTAGTGGGTCAGCAATGATTTCTGACCAATCCCAATGTGTATACGCTGTGGTAGCAGATAAACAAGAGCAGAAGATTAACTCTTTGTTTGTTTTTTTTTGGTTTCCAACAAATAAGGCACTAAAAATGACCAACATAAATCTGTGATCTGTTACACTACATAGGTCTCAAAATTCTAATTAACAACGCCCAAGTGTGTTTGCTTTTTAATTGATTATGAATGACTTAGCAAGAGAATGCAATGGGATTGAATGGATGAGAATGTTTTGTTAAAGCTAGGGGAAGGTATGATGGAAGGACACAATGTGAAAATTAGAGTAAAAAACTGTGGCCGCTCAATAAACTTCTCTGTTGTGTCATCCAAGTCCCTAAATTCTCAAAATGCAGAATTGACTCACTGTTCATGGTCCAATAGGGTCTAGACCAACATGGCGCGCTGATATGGTTCGCCATGATGGATCCGTCGTGCAGCTCCGCATCCCCACATGTGCATCACATTCACACGGGTGCCAGTGCCGATGCCACCATGGCTGTCACCTCCCTCCTTGAGGCACCAGCCTCAACTCCTCACACCCTCCTGTGTGGCCGCACCTGCTCCCAACGTCCCACTCCTACCCCACTGCGGCCTCCAACACCTCAGGTCCCCATGCCTCCCCTCTCTCTACACCCACCCATCATATCCCCCTCTTGGACGCAAAGAGGCCCCAAAAAACACTCCTTGTCCTAGACATGCTCACAAGGTCATCATCAACTCGCTTATGTTCCTGCTCGGTGGTGACAACGGCAGGCAAAACCCACACTGTGCACCTGCTCCTAGATGGCCATGTCCTTTTACTTGTTCGTCGCACTAGATAGCCTCTGCTGAGGCACGAACACCCTCAACTTGTTCATCATTTGCATGTCCAGTCTGGTCACCCTGTCCACTGCCAATGTCCTGCAGGGAAAACAGGTGAACGAGTGTGGAGAGATGACGCAGGGTCAGGAAGGCTAGAAGGTGGAATCAAGCAGCGGTTGTTGGGATGCCCAAGGCGACTGCACGTCAAGGCAAGGGAGCTGCTCGTGGTGCAGAAGCACAGTGGCCAGGCATGAGGGAGATGGAGGACGTGGTGTCCATGTGCTAGGCATTCACCGTGAATACAGTTGGATGGGATGCAGAGGAGCTGATAGCTGTGGATCTCAGTGGTGCCTGCCAATGGTGTAGACCATGCGGAGGGGGAGTCCCTAACCGCCGCCACAAACATCCACGAACCAATGCTGCGCCACATGCCCCCATCTCCATGCTGCCTCCGTTGCCTGCCCATACACCTTCACATCCTGTGAGCATCAACCAATTGTGCCTCCGTGCACCAGATGGCCATGTGTCTGCAGCTTGCTGCGGATTTGTTGGTTGCTCGCATGGAGGAGCTAGGTGAAGCATCAATGGAAGCAGCTAGTTGTTCCTCTGCTCAGATTCAAAAAAGAGGGAGATCAATGGGTGCATGGTGGTCGTGCTTGTGTTGGGATCCAGCAAACATCAATGGAGGGGTAGGGGATCAGAGTGAGGCTGCTGCTGTGGAGAGGAAGCATATGGAGGCTATTGCTACTTGCTAGTGACCGCCTGAACAGAGGTAGCGGCTGCACTTGGACAGAAGAAAGGGGAAGAACACATGGGAGGAGAAGGTGCTCCATGACAGATCCATAATGGCAAACCATGTCAGCACATCGTGCAGGTCTAGATCCAATTGGACCACCAACGAGACCAATATATCAAAATTGCATTTGGGGAGTTCGGATACCAGGGTGATAAAGCTAGGACTACATGGTCATTCAAGTTTAAGTTTAAGCAAGCATTGCGGGGAAGATTAATAGATTGATTATAGGGTACAAACACATATATAGGCAAGGATGCCCTAAGGTCGGTTTATAGAAGTACGGCCACCATTGGATATCCTTGCCTTTCAATACAATTGATCAATCTATAGGAGGCGCACCAACTATGAGACAGGTGTCTCATATCCCTGCAGCCCAATGGGCTATCCATCTAACACTAAGGATTAGTCGTGCACTTTACTCTGATGAGAATTACTAGAAAGATGTTTATGAACAGGAGTACAGTAAGCACAGCATATTAAGAATGATAGTTTGCAGCTTAATAAATTTGTGGTTAAAATGCACAAGGGGTGCCTAAGTTACCTCATTGAAACTGTTCCTAAAGATCATCACAAGGGTTTCAAGTCATTGGTCGTCCTGGTGGCATGGTAGATTTGGAAGCATAGAAGTGATTGTGTCTTTGAGGGATATCGGCCTAGTTTGAATACCGTAATGCAGGATATCAGGGATGAGGCAAAATTGTGGTGTATGGTGGGAGCAAAAGGGCTCCTTAGCATATGACCTTGACTGTATGGGTGTTAGGTCGTTTCTAATTTTTCTTCCTGACATTTCAGTTGTCAGGTCTTGACCCTATAGGGGTTGTACGAGTCGCCTAAACTGTCTCTTCCTCTTAATATAATGATACGCGGCTCTCCTTGAAGCTATTCAACTTAATTCAGAGAGCCATCCTCGTTTTGTGGCACCATGACTAATTATATATGCACTCTTTTCTAAGGCCTAGCCAGTGTAAGAACACATGTTGCACACTATCTACAGCAGTTAGTTTTACTATAGCTCCTAAGGGCATGCAGATGCGTGCATAGCATAAGTTAATAATACCATCTACAAGTGCAACAAATAAGATAGAGCATATGACATTCAAGTTCAATCAAGGCGGTGAAAGGCGCTGTCTAACATTAGGAACAGCGGAGATCCTCTATATGAACTAAAAGTAGTGCAAATAGCCAAAGACTCCCTCCATTCCAAATTGTAAGTTGTTTTGGCTTTCTAGGAACATAGCTTTTGCTACGCACTTGGATATAGGTTATGTCTAGATACATAGCAAAAGCTATCTACCTAGAAAAGCCAGAACGACTTACAATTTGGAACAGAGGAAGTAGTAGCTTTTGTAGTAGTTTCAACAGCAAACAAGTAACAAAATTCCTGAGTAAAACACAGTTAATCATGAAGGCTTTGGGCAAGAAAAAGTCTGGAAGATAACAGAAGACAAGGAACAAACTTGTTTGAGGAGCTAACATCTACTTTGGTAAATAGGTTAGGTAATAACGCTCACCATTATACCATCAAGCCCACAACCAATCTTTTCTTCTGCACGAAGATGATGGGAAAGAAGCTTTTCTGTTACAACCTTTTCATCATCTGGGCTTAGAAATCCGTCATTTCTATACCTGTTATAGGACAACAGAGTCAGAACAGAAGGAACTATTGATGCAAGGCGTAAAATGGTACATCTTCACAACATGGAAGTATTACAGAATAAAAAAAAATAGGACAGTTCAACATTGGGGTGTTTTGTGGAGTGTTGTTAATCAAGAGCATAAAGCAATGCTACTGAAGTTTCTGTTTCAGCTTAGGATATTAATTTGGTAGCATATACTCGCGGAAATGCGTATGTTGCGTTGGATTTGCGGTCATACAAGAAGGGATCGAGTTCGGAATGATGATATACGTGATAGATTTGGGGTAGCCCCAATTGAAGAAAAGCTTGTCCAACACCGGTTGAGATGGTTTGGACATGTCCAACGGAGACCTCCAGAGGCACCGGTGCGTAGTGGAATCCTAAGTTAGGATAGTAACGTGAAGAGAGGCAGAGGAACACCGAAGTTGGCTTAGGTAGAGGCAATAAAAGGAGACTTGAAAGGATGGAATATACCCAAAGACTTAGCCTTAGATAGGAGTGCTTGGAAAACCGCTATTCACGTGCCTGAACCTTGATTGCTTCTGCTGGGTTTCAACTCTAGCCTACCCCAACTTGTTTGGGACTTAAAGGCTTTGTTGTTGTTGTTATTGTTGATATACTCCCTCCGGCCCAAAATAAAATGCACATCTCGCTTCTCAAGGAGTCAAACTTTTTAAAGTTTAACTAGAAATATAGAAAATACAACTGGGCCTAATGTTTTCCTGGAACAAACAATTTACGTAGGTGTCAACTTATTATGTATACGATCTAGCAGCATTCTCCTACCAAGAATCCTTGTATTGCTCCATTGATGCCATAATAAAGCATGCATTCTGGCATTAAGCCAGGACATGCCATGTGCCTCAAATTGACTGCTTTGTAAGAACAGATTATTCGAGTACATAAACGACGAAAGCAATCTGCGTGTAGACACAAGTAGTGTGCAGTGGTTTACTAAGAGTGGGATAGTGATTTCATTTAGATTAGCTAGAATGCATTCTAGTTAACATGAGCAGATCAAATACAGCAAAGGAATAAAGTTTCCATACAAAACAAATCAAGGTCATCTTACTGGACGGATTAGTGCTACCATGAAGAACACAATTAGGAATAACTGGGTCTGTGAGCATCTCTTCCTCCCCTATTTGGTTTTCCTTTTCCTTCTATCCTTCTCCCAAATCTTTTTTTAGGGAATATCCTTCTCCCTAATCATGAGCTTGATTAAGTGCAAATCTGCGACAGTTAGATGATTTGGAGGTAGACTGGTACGATGGCTTCGAGCAGAGGCATGCTGCAGTACAAATCGATTCTCCCTGTTGGGTGGTGCCATTTGGATGCTCCAGTAGTCCAGAAATATAGATATTGATCTGTTGGCCCCCACCCAACTTTTCCTCTTGCTACCAAGGCAAAGAACTGCTCAGTGTAGTTCTCCACCATGCTGGTATAACGCAGCACGGCAAACTCCCTAGTGAATGCTACATGTTTTAGTGGAGGTTTAATAAGTGTTGAACCTTAGAAAGGTTGTCCTTCCAATAAAAAATGGTGGCGAACAACTTTCAGCACAACATACTCCTGAAGGCAAGAAGGTTTGGTTTGCCACATACCATCTGACAGAGGCTGCAGAGCACTGATATATGCACCTGGCCAGTGTACTCCACCATGTTAGTACCACGTAATATAGCCAGCTATCCTAGCAGGTTGCTGTGTGTCTACAGTACAACAGTCATTTTGACACGTTGGTGGCGAAGGTAGAAATCTGGACAAACACCAAGTCAATATCTACACCGTCAGATCAATACTGCCTCTGAAAACAGATGTGGAGCTTCTAGTGCCCAACGATGTGTGAGTTAGCCCCCAGCTTAGCTCACGCTTACAAGCATCGAACCAACATGGTTGTAGAGACCACGCAGCAGGTAGGCATAAATACCTCATGCTTTGTTGGCCGTGTTCCCCACATCTTATGTGGCTGGAAACACTGCTTCTGCTTAAGAAGCTGTGTGAGGAACTGACATGTAATCCGCGGTGCCTAGCTCTCAGAGATCACCAATCAATCGACTGCTAAGGGATGGCAACATATCACTGGCTCAATATTTTGGTGAGCAGTTAGCAAGGGTCATCACTGCAACTCAGCAAGCATCTCTTTCACACAGAGGTACTCAACAACACAACTATCAATGATAATGGGGTTACAGCATTGGCAATTTGACATCCCTTTCAGCGAACACTAGTATCCTAACAGCAAGGCACACAATGAAGCTGCCGCACCATGGGAAAGAAGCATTGATAGCTCTTGTGGACTAGGGGCAACACATAATGTCATTACTGGGGCTTCATATCATCATGCACGCAATTCAGAGCATGTAAAATCTAATTCAATGATTTTTTAATATAAAGGGAGCTCTCTGCACTGGGTACGCCCTTTTTTTTTTGGAAAATCTTGGCTGTGACTTTCAGCTTAGCAGCCATAAAGACCATGAGTCCCTGACTGCACCATCATTTCTTATCATCAGCAAGCTTCACACAATAATATGACATTGGGATGCTGAGGAACTCTACCATGCAGGCGGCATGATAGCTGATTGTATGTCGACACATCCAGCTCAAGGATAAGCTGGCGTCGAAAGAGGTTGGACATGTTACACGCTTGTCCCATGGGCCCAGCGAGTCCCAGGGACAATCAGCCACCGCCCCATCCCCTCTGACGCACACCGGCAAGTTGTCTTAACTGGGACGAGGGAAGTTTATCTATTTCAGTTATGACTTTTGAAAGTGCTACCTAAGTAAAGATACCTGAACATAAACACAAGGCAAAAGTCATGGTTGATCAAGAAAGAATAAAAAAGGCTCATCTCTTAGTACGCCACCTTACTTCCCTAGCTAGCCGCACCCCCAACCCTACGCACGGACCGCCTGCTGTGGGTCGCCATCGACGAGGCCTTACGCCCCTGCCTCTCACCTCTCAAGCAACAACCCACCACACCACTTCTACAGGTCTAACCCCTAACAACAGCATATCATTTGATGGAAATAATGGGAAAGTTCAATAGACAGGAATACCCAAGAACTACAAGGTCATCTTCATTAACATTTTTTGTGTTCTGACGTGTAGTGTCACTCTTCTTCTATACTAGTTCACAGCTCAATTGATCAAATAAAACATTTAGTTTTGCTTATGCCTCTGTGCTTCTAGATAAAGGAGTGGAGCTTGTGTAAAACGAATAACTCATATTATAAACCAACTCGATTTTGCAGTGACCTAAGGCATACGACCACTCTTCCATTTTGAACAATAATTCCACTGTTGTAGTGTAGCAATATCTGGCAACAATATTCTATTACAGCTAATTTCCATGGAACAGGAAATAAGATTGCAAGAAGAATGGGCTTTTTTTATCACAAACATGAGCATTTACACAAGAAACAGGGGCAAGCTCATTCCATATTTTCCCTGAATTAATCTTCCCTGATAGCAGTAGATTCGTGCTTTTCACAAGTGTTTCTAGTCTCACAAGATTCCAAAAGCTTTCCCAATCATATTCACATTATCCCCATCTGAAAAAGAAGAAAGAACCACGTCTGACAATAACGGAAACCACAGGACTCAGCTACATGCGAATGTGTCCAACACCACTAGAGAGTTTCTGCATATGAATTTGTAATACGAACAAATAAACTAAAGCTGAATCCCCAAATCAGGTGACAAAGTAGAACCATGCGTCGTGTCCAGGATTTAGCTCCCAATGTGCAGAGTTCATCCGTCACTGGCTACAGATTACTTAATGACAAATTCGCGACGCAAAGAAATGCTAATAAAAACACGGCAATCTCATGTATCATCCTAAAGATCCGCCAACAGTAGGTACTGGAAACCGAAGCTGACCTGCGGGAGTGGATGATGTCCGTTACGAGGTCCACGACGGGCTCGACGTCGCGGAGGATCTCCGCCTCGGCCTCGGCCCACGGTCCCGCGGCGGAGGGCTCGTCCGCGGTAGGGGTACCGCAGAGTTGGCGGTGGCAGCGGTATAAGAGAGGAGAGACGAAGGCGGCGGAGCCGGCAGGAGGGAGGCTCCCGCGGAGGAGTTGCGTGGCGGCCCGGGCGAGGGCGGCAGGCAAGGGCATGGTAGCGTTGGTGTGGCGGCGGCCGGCGAGAATGAAACGACGCGATAAACAGTTCTGGGGTTTAACTTTTTTTTTAGAAGAAGTTCTGGGGTTTAACTTTTTTTTTTGAGATTTAGTTCTGGGGTTTAACTTTTTTTTTTTGGAGGAAAGTTCTGGGGTTTAACTGACTTGGAAAGTAATGAAGCTGGGCCACATATGAGAATGGGCCTGAAGCCCTAAATTTGTTTTGTACAGTAAATGAGTTGGACCCAAATTTGTAATGACGTTTCCTCGCACGTTTCCCAACTTTGTACCGTAAGAGTTGTCAAAAAAAACTTTGTATCGTAAGATAGTATTGTCGCTGCCGATGGTTCGGCAGACGAGTAATGGATATCCTAGTTTTTTAAAAAAAAAAACAAGCTAGTTCTCAGGTGGCTAACATTGTCCATGTATACAAATGCCAACACGACTTTGATCCTTAGAAATCGTACTCGTGTTTTTCGGTCAAGACATCCTCCCAATAATGTCAGTAACCTCTCTCATCTTTAGTGGCTATCCGATTTCCCTTTTCTCATTTACATCCGGGTTTCTGACCTATTAACTTGATCCGTTTAATTTTTGCACTCCGAGTAGTCTTGATAGCGGTTTTGCTAATACGGCATCACGTCTGCCGTCCTACATGGCGCTATATCAGTTAAGAGAGATAAATCAGATTATGTTGATAGTTTGAAGATAAACAGGACTATAATATCTTAAAAATAAGAATATATTTTAGAAAAAACATTATGCAATTAAAAATCTTAAAATCTAGTTTAATGAAAATGCAAAGAAAATTTGATTTAGATCAAAAATATGAAACTGGTTAAATATTTTTTGTAAAATCATTCTATATCTTATGGTGCTTAAATTGGAATTAGTTGAATCATATAAGGATCCTTTTGATGCTTATTTTGCTAGAAGATGTGTTGAGTCAAACATAAAGGTAGATTATACCCGTGGATTAGCACTATGATAGTAAGCTTAACCCCTGATCAGTTCCCTAAATCAGCCAGGGTCTCAGGAGCTACACCTGTCGTGAACGCTCGTGTGTACACTCCGGGCCATTGGTGAACGGCCTGGTGGGCTTCAGAGGGCCCATTTTAGAAAAGGCCTCAGCGGATGGGAAATAAAGTAAGGGGAGTCTATGCCGAGCAAGCATGGCCGGGCTCCCACCCCGACCGACATGGGGAATATGCCCTAGAACCTGTCAAGCATACTGAGCCTGTTCCTTCGAGGGAGCATGTTTTCCATACCGCCTCGAGATTGTGTCGGCCACTCCCAATGCAAGGTCAAGCCTGAGGTATATAAGGCAGGGTATGAGCTTCTGTAGAAGGGATCGGATCCTAGCGGATCCGACCCTAGAGTAGCATAGAAGCAAACCAGTAGTAGGTCCTTAGGTCGGCCCATCGCTAGAGCCCCCAAGAACCCAGAGAACGTTACCATAGCGCTTCCCCATGCATCTCTCTTTCTCCATTGTAAGAACTCGATTGAGCATTCTTAACATGAAGAACGCAACCGGTGGACGTAGAGCTTTGTCGGTGTTTTGAGAACCGACCAGTAAATTTGTCGTCGCGTTGCTCAAGGGATTCGATGGCTAGCACTAAGAACACCAAGGATTCATATTGGTTTGGGACCAAGCCCTACGTCTAGTGCCGGAGACCTATGAGTACGTGTTCCTCAATGCCAAAGTGCTCCAAAAGTGTAACACCCCAAAATTCCCATTGTGGGTTGTTATTAGAAAACACTAAAGAAAATAAAGGATTTAATAATTTTTCTAAAATTATCCAAGATTTAATTAATTGTTGCCTTTGCAAAATGAGAAAAATGTGGATTTATAAATTTTTTACAAAGTTAATATGAGAGTGTTTGATTGTTGTTGTGCATTTGCTTTGTCTTTGGTTGTGTGAAAAATGATTTTCTAAAACTCGACTAAACCACGATTTGGTCTTCTTCGTTTTTGGAAAAACAAGGCTTCCAAAGTCCTATTTGAAAACTAGTTCAAATTTGAGTTTAAAAACATTTTAAAAATGTGTGTAAAATAAAAGATGTTTTAGTTTTCAAAAATAATTTAAAAACATGTTCCAAAAATAATGTCAATGAATCAAATTTTGATGGGCCGAAGCCCAGCAAGCCCTCGCCTTGATGGGTCGAAGCCCAACAGGCCAGCCTAGCCGCAAGCAGCAGCGCCAGCAGCCTCGGCCCGCTCCGCACCCATGCCCTGAGTCGCTGCCCCGTGGGCCCCGCTCGCTACGCCACGCCGAGCCGCTGACGCTTTAGCCCCACGCGTCAGTGGAAGCACCGTCGTCTTCCCCGCTCCGCATCGAGCGGGATGCCGCCGCCGCCGTTGATTCGAGCCCGTGTCCTGAGGTTCCCCGGCTATCCGGCTACAAAGGGTGAGCCCCATGCGTCGCACCCCTTTTCAACCCTAGCAGAGCCTGCTGCCACCATCGGCTAACACTAGCGCGCCGCCACCATAGCCGCGCCCTCAAGCTCGGGCCACCGCCGCCGTTCTCCGGCGTCTCCACGTCACCGACGACGATAACCCCTCCATGACCTTAGCCCCGAGGTGAGGAACCCTCTGTCACCTCTCCCAGCCCCTCTCTCGCTCTCTATGGTGTGCACCACCTCGCCATAATAGGACCGCCATCCCCGGGCCATCCTGCCACATGTCTCTCGCCATCTTCGGACAGCCGCTGCCGCCGCATTGCCCCTCATCGGGTTCACGAGGTCACGTTCTCCCTCCCTATGCCCTCCACGTACCTAGCCGAGCCCCTTAGGGCGTTTTTCACCGAACTCCAGCAAGATGCCGCCGGTATCCATGGCACACTGCAGTGTGTGCTCCTGTCTCCGGTCACCTTGGCTGAGGAGAGCACCCTGCCGAGTCGCGAGGCCGCCCGCTACCGCCCTGTGCCACCCGCGCGCCCCGCAATGCGCCGTAGCACGAGCGCTGGCGCGCTCCGACGACCCTCCGTCGCCTCCCATGGCTGCTCCGCCGTGCTGCCTGTCGCCGCCGGCGAGCCATGTCTCGCGCCGCTCCCTGGCTGTTCAATCCAGCGCGGACGGCCCAGATTAGATCTGAACGTACTGGTCAACCGAAGTCAACCGCGCCAGTCAGCAGCCATGTGGCCGCCACGTGTGCGCCACGTCACCGAAGACCAGTCAACAGGGTAATTCCGAGGTCAGCCCTAGCCCTTTTGCAAAAGAGCCCCTGCATTTTCTAAAAATCAAACTGCAGTCCGCTGTAGTTCAAAAGTAATTGGAGATAGGTCCCCGCCTTTTCTGTTTTTAACCATGAGCTTTAGAATATTAGAACCCGCATTAGAATATTAGAACCCGTAGTCCAAACCTTTAATAAAATTCAGTTTTAATTATTTAAAATACGAAAATAGTTCCAGTAATTCACATTTTTGCCTCTGGACATAGTTTTAGCCATAACTTGCACGTTTTAGCTCCGTTTTGGTCTGTTCTTGTCGCATTAGATTTGCACCAACATAATCTACGCGTTAGCAGTATTGTTTACCATGTTCCATGCTTTTGAATTTCAACATAAATTTTATACGATTAATGTTTATCTAATGCCCTTTGATCTATAAAGGCAACTTAGATTTATACATTGGTTTTTCCTAAATTAGTGTTAACATGATTAATATCAACCTAAATACCTTTTCAATTATAATCTTCTTAGTCCAACCTTAAAATCATAATTGCTTCTGTTTAGCTTTTGTCACAAGTTCTATGTTTTCTAAATTATAAATGTTTATTAAATGACTTAAATACTATGAATTATTTATAAATAAAAACATGACTAAGGCTTAACTACAGCTCTCATAACTCAATATAATTTGATTAATTCAACTTAGGGATGTTTCTATGAAATGTCCATCACCTTACTTCATTAAATAAAATAAAATAGATCAAGCTCATAGCCTGTCTCTCCATTATGTTGCAAACCTCGATAGACGTGCCCTCGGTAACGATAGCTCCATTTTCAGTTGTTCTTGCGCTCTCGCGATCGTAGCTCCGAGCCGTGCCAATTAGTGTGCTTTTTTCAAGTTTTTCCCTTTTGAATGATGTGTTGTTCTTAGTGTTGTTTGTTGTCTATTTGTTCTGCTTGGTTGCTGCGAGTAGAAGAAGCGTGGTTCGTTAGCGCTGAAGACTAGGAGCTGAGGACCGACAATCGAAACAAAAGCTAGAGACCAGAAGATGGAAGCCGAAGACTTCTGAGCAGCTAGACTTTGGAAAAAAGGCAAGTGCAGGCACCGTTTGATCATATTGTACCTACTCATTTATAATTCACTTTACTTTTCATTACATGTGTCTTAATATTGCAAACCCTAAGGATATGACTAGCCCTTTATTACATTCCTTGTATTCCTAGGGTATATGTTTTGGGTAGAGTAGTTATGCTTAGCTGCTCCACCCAAAACTATTACATGTTGAGGAAAGTAATGATGATTAATGATTACTATAATGATGATTAATGATTACTACAATGATGATTAATGGCTATTATAATGATGGTGAAGTAAAGGTGCTTTATAGCATCGTGGTTATGTTGATGAAAGGGGGAACGGGTATTGGAGCTTGGCCCGGTTTTTGGGGGTACCTGCGTCTGCCCTCCCTAAGGACCTATTCGTGGAGAGGCCACCTTGGACTTACCGTACAGCTTCAAGCCATATGGCTCTAGCTTGACGTAGTATCAGGACCTCTACTAGTAGGGTGTTGTTGGCATTTCTTAGCGCAATCACCAAGTATGGAGGTTTCAAGTCCATTCTCGGTAACGGTGCCAAAAATATATGTTGGTATTTTTTAACACCATCACTAAGATTGAGTAAACCTTAGTGACACCACTAAGACACACCAATTACGATAGTTCTTAACGATTACAGAAAATATCTGCAAGCGTTTGTGTTTTTGGAAACCACCCTAAGCCGCCTTTGCATGCGGCCATGCAACCGCCGGAGCAACGTGGGCCTAAGAGG